ACAGTCGAACACTTCAATACTGAGTTCAAACAATTGAAACAGTGCCATAATAAATAATCCTTGTGAATCCTTAGCACCCTTAGCACCCACGGAGCTGAAACTGCTGCTTAAGATATTAGTATCTCCAGTTCTAATCCTTTAAAACAACTACTGTTTTCCAAACAGGAGATGCTAGGATCGCATACTCATTGAATTGGAATTCAACAAAAATATGCAAATCTATCAGCAAAATTTAAGTTATTGGCAAAAATTATCTAAAAATAGAAAACTACGCTTTTGGCTAGCAGCCCCATAGCCTCACGTAAGAAGTCCATAAGAGGGAAGCAGCCTATTTAGGAGAGTCCCCCCCCACCCCCTTCAGCCCTTCAGCAGCCGCGGTCTATTTATGTGTAACTTCATGTTCCTCATAGACATACTTCTTTTCCCCTGTGTTATCTAAATAAAATCTTAGGTGATGGGTTGGTGAGATGATTCAGTGGGTAAAGGTGCCCGCTGCTAAGCTTGCCAACCTAAGTTCAGTCCCTGGGACCCACACAATGGAAGAAGAGACTCAACTCTTTCAAGTTGTCCTCTGACAACCAGACAAGTGCATGACATACCCCCAATGCACACAGTCAATAAATAATTGTAGCAAATTTACAAAAGACTAAATATAAGCTATGGAGAAAAGGATTTTTAAAAATCTTATGGTGATGTCAAAGTCAGACATCAGAGAGAACCAGGAAGAGAAAGTAAAAAGGCACTTATGAGAAAAGGAATTTCAGATTTTGAGTAAAATTAATATTGTATGTGTGTGTGGGGGGGTGTATTAATTGTTTAAACTTAAAATTAAAAATACCCAAGTTTTATTAGTAGTCCCAGTCTTATAGCCAATTTATAGGATATGAACAAAGAAACAAATTTTCACATTACTTTACTATACATAATTTCCATGTGACTAAAATCAGTGTGAAAGCTGAGCACAATGGTATATCCACATCTGTAGTCCCAGATAGTCAGAAAGACTATGAGTGGGAATCACTTGAGTTCATGAGTTCTAGCCTGGGCAACAGTAAAACACTGTCACAAACAAATAAATAAACATAGCTTGGTTAATAAGGACTAATAATTAAAGAAAGGCTCCAATACCCGCTTGAAGACTCTCTAGGGTAGCAATTCTCAACCTGTAGATTGCGATCCCTTTGGGGGTTGAACAACCCCTTCACAAGGGTTACCTAAGACCGTCTACATATCAGATACTTACATTATGATTCATAATGTAGCAAAATTACAGTTCTGAAGTAGCAACAAAAATAGTTTTATGGTTGAGAGTCACCACAACAGGATGAACTGTATTAAAGGGTCTCAGCATTAAGAAGGTTGGGAAACACTGCTCTGGAAGCTATGACCTGAGATTTTCCTTTTTTCCTCTCTGGAAATCAAACTCCTTAGGAGCTAAGGCGGAGCCCAGCGGCTGATGGAGGGTCTGATCACGCTGAGTTAGTTTGTGGCATGTTTCCTTAAGTCTTAGTTTAGACCTGCCTTCCCCAGACTAGCGCAGTCCTTAGAGAGGTGTGGCAGGGTTCTGCTTTATCTGTAATCTGCCAGGTCTTGTACACCAAAAGTGGATACTGATTTTCCTGGCAGTAACTGTGTATCATGTGCCCTAGCTGATCCAATTAAAAGACTAATTTTTTCCCCTTTAATAAATCTTGGTAACCTTGGTTTAAGTTAAAAATATCATTGTTATTTAGTTTCTTAGATAATAACAAAGCAAGGCTGTAGGATCTTTATATTTTGGGAACATCCAAGGTAAAACTGAAAATGAGTTCAGAGTTTCTCTCTCTCTCTCTCTCTCTCTCTCTCTCTCTCTCTCTCTCTCTCTCTCTCTTTCTTTCTTCTGAACAATACAGACTAACAGAATTATACTTTCATAGCAGAACTCAACAACTGGCCTAGTTTTCTTCATATCTTACTTAATATTTTAGAGTTATAAAAATCTGGCTGGGGAATGTAGCACATCCACCTCAACCCTCAAAACAAAGTGACATGCAAATTTTATTTTTATACTAAAATTAGTTTTCTTATTTGAAAGCAACCAATTGGTATATTTTCTTTCTGAATGCTGCAATTTGAAATTTTTAAAAAAGCAAAACACGAACTTACTAAGTCGTCTTTATAAACAAATTTAGTCACTTCCTCAATTGTATAAAATTATTGAATAAGAAATGTGTAAGTATTTAATCTCTGCATGTTCACTGCCTCTCCCCACTTGGTTCTATACTGTAGTATGATCTTTTTTCTTTCTTTCCACTGCTACTTCAATTTTAAAAAGTGTCAAGTTTTGTGATTATGTGATCACGATGACCATAAAACGTTGCCTGCAAATGGATTATAATGATAATTATGTCTTAGCTTCAGTGTGAGTACTTAGCTTCAAGGTGCTGAGTCATGAGGGAAGGTCCAGCCTGGTCTGTCTACAGTCTAGAAGGCAGGTTGTGTTATTGGCCTGCCAGTGTGTATCCACCACAGTACATTGCAAGCCTCATGTCTCCACCTAGTTAGTTAGCTGATGGAAATTAAGCATTCCAGAAGTGGCAATGCTTGACAACCAAATGCATAAAATAGTAAACAATTGACAATCAAAATAAAGAAACAGCTGTTAGTTTCTTTTTATATAAAATGATATGTAATTTACAATGAATGCCAATTAAAATTATTAACCAATATGCATAAATCTTCTTTGTCTTATTGTCAAATAGCTATGTAGATTGTCATATTTTCTTAATTTTTCAAAATGATTTCTAAAGTTCTCCCCCTAACTGTGATTAAACCTTAATTTCTTTTTTTATTTTTTATTTATTTCTTCTGCGATTAAATCTTAACCATGAATCAGTAAATATGTATGCCCTCTGCTCTGTACAAGGTAAGTATATTAACAAAGTAAAATCAGAAGTTATTCATTTGATGGTGCCTGATCCAGCACAAGGTATTGCTATGCTAATGGTTATTTCTATTAAATGTAATGATTACAACAAAAATTCAATTGAACTTGATCTTACAATCATCAATAACCATGTAGTTAACATGTTAAAAGCTTTAATGTACAGAGACATGACAAAATGTATTTTAAAAGCAGTGACGTCTCATTTTGGTTGTTGAGAGGAAAGGGATAAGTCGTGGATGAGTAACTGTCGAATGAAAGCTAGAAATGTCATCGTTACTAATGTATTATAATGACTTACTGTATATATCCCTTATGCCAAGAGCACACGACCATTTCATTACTTCTTCAGAACAACTTGCCATTCTCTTGGTAATTATTTCATTCTAAGTGATAAGGGACTCATTGTTTTAAGAAGTGATTTGTGATGGTTTGAGATACCAATCCTCATTTTCACTTTCTGCTATATATCAGCTATTTAGTTTTTTTTAAACTGTATTAAAGAATGTAGTAAAACCTTGCTTTGTCAGTCAATGGTGCTCAGCCATTTTATCAATTAGACATTCACTTTATATAGTCTGAAATGAATACATTATCTTTGTGAAGTACAGATCAAGGTTTTTTTTTTTTAATTTAACATTACAGTTTTTGGAAGTATTCTCACTTTTTAGTTTATTAAAGCTTTATTATTACTAGTATTTATTTAATAATAAAAGTTATTATTATTATTATTATTATTAAAGCTTTATATCTCAGAGATGGGTGTTTTATTCAGGGAGCAAACATTTACTGGACGTCTGCTATGTGCTGACTTTTAAGTGTGAGCTGAGACACAAACAAAGCCTGGTCTGCCCCAAACAGCAGTGTCCAGGACAAATGTGCACAGAGACCATAATCACAGTGCAGAGGAGCATTTAATGTCACTGAAGGATGCCCTGGAAGTACAGAGGGGAGGTGCAGGATTCTGGAAGGTTGAACTGGATTCTGAAAAAGGACAGACAGTGCTCAGGAGCACAGAGCAGGGGGAGGAAGAAGAGTTAGGAATGGGCAGGTGGGAGGAGAGGAGGGCTTCACACTGCCCTTGGGGGGGCGGTAGAGTGCGGCAGTTCGAAGCATGGACTCTGGAGACAGACTTCTGGGGTTCTACGTTAGGCCATTAACTAGCTTCTCCATGCCTTGGTTTACCCATACGTAGAGTTGGCACAATGGCAGCATCTGCTTTAAAAGACATCTAAGAGGTTGGTTGTCACCTTTTTTGTCATGTAAAAGAATGCATATTATAAACTATTCAAATGTTCATTACTAGTGAAGGTGGAGTACAAGATGCTTTTGAGGGCCATGACAGAAAAGAACCAACCCTGGGCCACAGATAGGAGGCGCTTGGGTAATTGTGTAAGAGCTTGGAACTCATTGAGTTTTATGCATGTAAATGATGACACGTAATTAGTGTGAGGCTTTGAGAAAGACTGATCAGCCACAGGGAGACTATGGGGAATGTGACATGGAACAGAAAGATGGCTAAGGAAGCTTTGGAACCAGTCTGGGGGAAGTGTTGTGAGTCTGAGTCAGGACACTAGGATAGTTATGGAGGGAGAGGGGTTAACCTGAGAAGTACCTTGGAAATAGAGTTAGCAGGACTAACCAGGCTCACAGAATAACTACATAATAGCTCCCAGACTAGGTGGGAAAGTTACTACATATAACCAAGCCGAGCCGAGAAAGAGAATGCTTATCTATTTGAATGTATTTTTAAGTCACACAGTAAGTCACAGTCAATGTTACTGCCTCCCCTAGTGAAACTATACCTTTGCTGTTTTTTGTTTGCATGTGTGCGTGTGCGTGCGCGTGTGTGCGTGCGTGCGTGCGTGCGTGCGTGTGTGTGTGTGTGTGTGTGTGTGTGTGTAACTAGTTGAGATGATTGGATTTTGAAAAGTAAACAACAAAGGTTTCAAATATTATTTTGGGTGCAGTCTTGCCTTTTGGCCTTAAATGTTCTAACTCTGAGGCCTTGAGTTTAAATAACAATGCTAAAAATTTGGAGGATATCTGTTGGTAATTTTGCTTTAATTTTCTTCAGTGAGAATGCAAAGACTTCCTGGCTGGCCTTGCTTCCCCTCGATACTATGTGGTTCTCTGACATCAGCACAGATATATTCAGCCTTGACATACGATACTGGCTGGCATGAAAAAGAAGGTGAAGATGAGTAAGCTTACAAGCAGGACATGGCTGTGCTTAAGACTAAATGGTATTTGTAACAGGTGTTCCTTGGAACCAGGGTCAGAAAGGACTGCTTCTTCTATTTAAAAAAAATGGTTAAGTAGCTTTTACATGTAGAAACTACGAAATTGATGCATTTGTGACTATGACACACCAGGAAATTATATTCAGTAATGAGGTGCAGCCACAGTTTTCCCTTTGTTCCTTCTATTTCTGTCTCTGCGTGTATGTAATGTATGCACATTTTGGTGTAGGCTTGGGCACCGGGTCAATGCCACCATAAATGTGGGGGGAGCAGCCTCGAGGACTGGTCCTTGCTTCCTACATATTTGACAGAGGCTCTCCTGTTGTTCTCTGCTGTCCATGTTGGACTAGATGGCCCAGGAGCCTTAGGATACTGTCCTGTGTCTGCCTCCCAGCCTCCACAGGAACACGGCATGATTACAGATGCTTTGACGCTCAGACTGTTGGGCACGCATGACAAACATTTACCCTCTGAGCTGGATCCCCAGCCTGGCAAACACTTGCCCACTGAACCATATCGACAGCCCAATTCCTTCTATTTCCAGATATAAGGCGTCATGTGCCTATGGCATATGTTCAGAGGTGGTGGGATGAGTTGGTTTAACTCCTGAGATTTTTTTTTCCTAATGGTTCTACACTCTGTATATGGCAAACTTTTATATTTTAAAGACAGAATATCTTCTTCATTCTTGGAGAATGATTAAATTTAACAGGTTGTCAGGCAATTAACAATAACAGCAGAACTGAACAATCAAACACTTCTTACTTATTTTTAACATCAGATTCTAAAGCATTGTTGTTATTAAATAGTAACAAGAGACCGTTTGCATCAAAGTTTAGTAACCCAAAGCCCCCCCCCCCCCATATTTACAAAAACAAAAAAGCATTTTTCTTAATGTTTACTTCCAATACTGGCTGTTCCTTTAAGAGTAATCAAGCTGGCTTAGTGTAATAGTAGACTTTGAAGTCATGGCATCTAGACTACTTTTCTTAGGTTATGACTTTGTCCCTGTGACTCCCCTTCCAGCCCCACCACTGGCTCTAACCAGAGTGTGGCTAGGACTTCAATCTAGGAAACACATGTCTGGACTTCTTCTGGTTCTTGAAGTTTGATATTACTCATTGCAAAGTATTTTCTGCAGAGAAAGAAATCAAATATGGCAAATTCATTGTCTAGAAAACTACTGTTGAATTTACTTACTAGTTTGGCTCTATCTAATTTTTAAAAATTTATATGATAGGGAACGATGGTTATTCCTCTTTCCTATCTACTCTGGAAGTTCTGATATTTCTGCATCACTCACTGAAGTAATAATAAAACACCACAACCCAGAGGAAACACCACCTCCAATAGATGTATGTATAAAAATGTTTTTGTATGCCAATTTTCCTTATCCTCTTTCTTATAATTAGCGTGCTATTATATTTGACCCTAGCACAATGTTTTAATTAGGCTGTCCATGCATATTTCAATAAACTTGATTTTTTTGACACTTCAAACATAACCTTGTGTCACTCATGCCTGCCTCCTATTTTAAATTTATGACATGTTCCAGCTGTAGAAATTACCATGGTTACTTCTTACGCTGATAGTAAACTAGAGCTGGCACTTAAAAGTACTGTGCTCTATTACGTATCTGCATTGACATGGACATCAACATCTCAATAATTCCAACATTATCAATTAATATGGGAACCTGAAGAAATGTGACTATGAGACAATTAGTCACTGTTGAAGATATTTTTAAGAGATGAAATGTATGTAAAGGTTTTTTTTGTGGCAGCATGGTCTATTGATGTTCTTTCTCTGATTCTTCATGTGAATGCCAAATATGGTTTTATTACCAATACTGTTGAATGGTTGCAGTCTTACTCCTGCTGTACTCTTTAGAAACAGACAGGATATCAGTACTTTGGGTGAACATGATTGATTCAATTAGGAACTGATGAACAGAGAACATGAGAAGTATGTCTTCCCCCAAACACTCTTGTCTAAGAGTGGTATCTGGGACTGAGGTGATCTGATCAGAATCTACAATTCTCTGCAGACCAGTTATGTTATTTCTGCTCTTAGACTTTTCTTACTTCAGAAGAGACACAAGGACAGTGTCTTCATTAACACACTGGACATGACAGGTGAGGTTTGTGACTGCTTCGCCTTGGCTAAGGCTGTCCCAAGCAAGACTGCATCTAAGACACAGTTCCTTTGTAAGTCACTGTTGGACCACCCCTCCTTCGGAAGGAGCTTTAGAGTGTCTTGGAAATCACCCACGGACTGAGGCCAGTGCCACATGCTGCCGCACTGAGATCTGTGCTTACCTGCGCTGGTGCCTGCACCGGATGTGAGGTCTCCACCCATCAGACCACCTACGGAGTAAAGAGGAAGATCAAAAGGAGAAAGGCGAAGGGCCAGTGGGACAGAGCACAGTGCCTCTCCTGAGAGCTGGTCTTAAAACACTCTACCTAAGCCACGAGGGCTGACATTTGTTTTATGGTGACATGCTGTGCTCAAATGTTAAAAATACATTCACTCACTGACATTTTGCGGAATATTTTTTCTAGGAACGATTACATTAGAAAACTACAGTCTGTGAATAGTCTATGCATTATTATTTTCAAGTCTAGTTTTCTCCTAAAGAGGCACTTCACAGTAAATAAAAAGAAAACCCCACTTCATTTCTAACATATGTCTTGATGGCCACATGTCTGATGTCTAGTTTCTTTCTAAACATATTTTATAGGGTTAATTTTGTGCAATATTAATTGAGTATAAATTTTATTTTCTCATATGTTGACTAATATTTCTAGTGGAATTTTACTTCATGACATGATACATAAGCTTTCCCCACCGCAGATTTAAAAACATGCTAAAATTCATTGCTAAAACTGTGGAGCTAACAAGGTGGTTCAGCAGGTTATGGCAGTTACACCAAGCATGGTGGCCTGCGCTCCGTCTCCTGGACCCCCATACTAGAAGAGAACTTACTTCTGGACATTCCCCTCCTGTCACCACACTTGGGCAATGGCACTGGCATGTCCCCTTGGAAATTAACAAATAAGTAAATAAAGTGATAACAGCTATGTTTCTTAGGAAGAGTTGTGATCTTTCAGTAAGTCGGAATATAATTAGTATTTTTAATTTTTAAAGAACAAGATCTAGAAGAATAGTGGCAATATCATCTAATTGAGAGTTCTTAGCTCTTTCTCTGTGATACTTTATTGTTATTACTTGGTTCCAGGTTTTGGAATCAGAAAATATGTTTATTATATTTTAAGAAAATTGTTGCTATTTCCCACCAAATACAGTTTTGAAGACAAAGAATCAAATTTAAAACAATAAATGAACATGAGTTACTAAATAGGACATTCAAATACATCTGATCTGAATATGACCTAAAAAGATTTTATATGGCTATTAAAATTTATATAAAATTTCAATCATTTTAAAAGAGAGAATGGCACAGTGAAGTCTTTTGTACATACTTCCCTGCTTCAAGATTTATAAAATCTTCTAGAGGAAAAAGTGCTTCCATAAATAAGCTGCTCTTAGTACAGTTAAATGTGCCTTAGCTATTGAAAGTACCCTGTGGAGTGCCTCCTTAAAACCAGAATGTAAATACACAATGGACTGCTGTATGAGATTAGAAATACAATTATTTTTGATGCTGCTTCTGGAACTATGAAGGAATGGCTTGGTTATATTCAGTACACACTGACTTGGCTCCCACTGTGAGCTTGGCAAATCAAATGGGCATTCTTCCTTTCAAGATTCTTCAAGTCCAGTGGAGAAAAAGACACATATTCAATACAGTCGATCATAACATATTTAGCTGGATTCACGTACTCAGAATGACTGCTTTTTTTCTGAGCAATAATTTTATGTCCCTAGGTCATTGTGAATTGAACAGCAGTAAGGATCTTTCAGAATGCAGAGGCAAATCTGTGGTGAGTGTATCTGAGTACGTGACATGCTCTTAACCATGCTTCTGATTCAACTGTATTCTTATTTCATACTCCTTACAAGACACACTAGTGTATCACATAGTTCCTTTCTACCTTATATTCGTTCTTGGATAAGTTGTCTCAAAAAAATTGATCCAAACAATTACATATATGGACAGATGTTATCAGAGGACACAGAGAATGGTTTCACGTGAGAGGTGACATTTCCGTAGGAAGAGAGAAAATGATACTTTATGCAGACAAGACAAGGAACAAAAGTGTGTAGACTAGATATTTGACACACTGTTTGATAAAGTATGTGGTTAAAATATAGCCACTGGAGGAGATATTTGACAGCCAGGAAAGACACAGTGTGGGTTAAGAAATATTTTGAAAGATACTAAGTTCTTCTCTGAAGAACGTAGACTCTGTCAGAGAGTAGCTAGTAAGGCGTGGATGGTGAGAGATGAAAGGATAGACATGGGAAACCAGAGTGCACCTCCTAGGTAAGAAAGCCTTTGCTAGAAGGCTCCTTTCCACAGCTTGTTAACATTACGTGCTCTGAAGGACATACCTGTGTTACCTGCACTTGGAGGTCTATGTGTCACGCCAGGAGACATACTATTCCTCTGCAGAGAAGGGTGAGCCAGTGGCAGAAGGCTGGGGTTTCCCAGTGAGCTGACAGGGTTGCTGTATACCAGACTGTTATGGCTGGACACAGGGATGGAAACCGGCATCTCAAAGTTGGGAGGTGGAACAGCCTGTGGAGCAGAAACGAGGTAGAAGCCATGTAAGACAGAAGGACGCTACCGGGGCATCCAAGGACAGACAGCATGAGCTTCTCCAAGACAAATTCCACATTCCAAACCGTGCAGTGTGTAGGTTACCGTCAAGACAGGGTCTCAAGATGTGCAATCGTAAATTGATTTCTTCACTGTGCTTAGAACTCTTTCTTTGTAACTCTTAGAAAAGGTTTCATTTCTGTGTGAAACAAAGCCCCGTTTCATTAGGCTCCATTGTCTTTGAATTCCATTCTATGAAGTAATAATTATTCATTTGTGATATCTGAATCTGGTGCCAGAAATGACTGTAAGATCAAAGGTACATGACTATGATGACTTCACAGAGAAAAGGGGGGGGATTAAAATGCAAACCAGATCTTTTGGTTTAATTGCTTATTGAAGCATATTTATGCAGAAGTTTAATGATATAAAATCATCTTCAGGCCTGTGAATAGCACATATAGTTTAATTATTATTTTTAAAAGTCTGTCTTTTAATAGCAACTCAAAAGATAATAGGCATTTTAAGGTACAGGTTTCAGCAGAGTACGTATCACTCACTAGCTCATATTTTAAAGGGATAGCTCAAAAATATGCAAAGCTTCACATTTTGCTGTATAGGTACTACCCCTGCCACATGGCAAGGTCCATATCTCAAATGAGGGAGTTGGCAAATATTTAGGGAGCTGAAGCTGTGTGGATATCTAATTAGAGTGGTCCAGGTTCCAATTATTGATTTTTTGCTATTATTTTGGCAATTTAAGCAAAATTCTGTTTCTGTTTCTGCTTGCAGGAACTCATCATAGTTGTAAACACTCTTTTCTTTCCCCTTTTGTCAGCATTACAAATGAAAATACTGTTCAGATACATGCCAGAGGACTCACGGTATCAAGGCATACAGCACTTATAATGAAACACTGCACATGTGTGTATCCAAAAGATACATATAAGCCCTCTGAGGTTTTCAGTAAGACGTTGTCCAAGTTTGCATGCATGTTTATTCCTGGCTCAGCTGGTTTGCTATTATTGTTTTGAGTTTTACTAGTTTTTTTTTTTTCTTTAGAGTTAACATCAACTATCCGTGGCTGGTTGATTGGCTGGCCTGCATTGTACCGTGCGTCTGCAGTAATTCTGTGTTTATGTTGTTGACACCTATATTGTGTCTCTGTTTATGTTTATGCTCTCTCATAGTCTTCACTTAACGTTTTTATTTTCTTCCATGTTATAGAAATATTAATACTGATACAAGCAAACATATTACAAACTTTCTTTAAAATGACTGATTTTTCACTCTTTCTAAGGGAAATAAAAATGCTCAAGTGACATGGTAATACATCTGTCTTTTAGGCCATTTATGGGTTGTACACAAGCTAACAGAGAAATGATTTTTGGATAAACTCTGTGACAGTGGAATATAAATGCAAGGTAATATATCAAAGCATGGATATATGCCCACATATCCAAAGCCCTGTTAAACAAGAAAGAATATTAATGTCCGCTGTAAGGTAAAAGTCTGTAGAGTGGTAAACATATCCCTTTCCTGACATGCCAAATGAGAATAGAAGTTGCCTGTGAAAACAGTGTGGTAAGTGCTAAGCAGCCTCAGCCATCCAATCTCTTTCTCTCTGCCCTGGGTTCCAGATATATCAGTCAGGCTTTCTGGCCATGCGTGCATCCCACAGTGGCAGCCGCAGCACAGAGTGGAGTAGAGAGACCAGAGCCCGCCTCGCAGCAGGATTCTTCTTACTAGACCACAGCTGTAGTGTGGGGGCTGCTTCCGGAAGTCCATAGCACGACTTGCCTTTGAGTGGCTCTCTCATGGCACCCCGCTCCAGTGATTTCTTCTCCTCTTGTGTCATTAGGCCTGCGGATAACAGCAGCTTCGAGGCTCCGAGTCCTAACGCACTTTACCACCCTCTCGTGTTCCCTTTAACTCCGTCTACATGTGTAGGTCTTTTAACAGTCTCTCTTCAGCTATACTCTTGAGTTTGGCACTTGTGGCTGGCTGTGACGTTAGATCATGATATCAGCTCTACAGATTTGGAGTGGGGACATTTTGGAATTCTGGGTGGACACGTGAACACCTTCATTCCCAGCACCATCACGGTGACTCCTGAAGTTGCTTCCTAATGGATCAACCCCCTCTGGGCCTCGTCTTTCCACTTTTTACTTTCAACACACAGAAATCAGGATTCTGATCCTTTAGAGAACACATTAGACAAGAGCATCCCTCTGCTCAAGTCCCCATCAGTGTGCCACATGATTAACAAACTAATACAACTAAGGCCTTGGGAAACATAAATTTTAAAGACTCCCTTCTTCCATATTTACTCAAAAGTCCATACTTTAAAGCTGTTCTTGATTCTAAATGTTTTAATATGTACTCATTGTTCCTACTTATAAATATTCCACTTCCATGGGGTCCCTAAGAATCGCTATAGAGCTCATTCTCTCCTCATATTGAATAGAATATTGACTTTGTCTCACTAGAGGGCCACATTCATCTCCCTTTCCCTAAGAGATTATAGGCACATTCATATTACTGGAGGTAATTAATAATTATGCAATGAATTCTGAGGTATCCTACCAACCAGTCCAG